GCATGCATATTGCATCGCATCAATGACACCAGACCAATAGTGTCCCTACCAAAGTTCAAATCAAACCTACGCCCTTGGTTCCTTGGTATTAGGATAATCTCTACTAAAAATGTTTATTACATCCTTCATAGCTGTGCCATAAAACTGCTAAAAAAAAAACAAAACAAAAAAACAACCACATTCCTTTTTTTCTGTGTTTTTGTATTTTTTCCCTCAGTATAATACTTCCAACTTTTAGAGTCTGAAGCTGAAGCCCTCAATGTTCACTGCTGCCACCCTCTGGTTCAGGGGGGAACTGCTTGTTCCACCAACTATTCCTATCTTGGATAAGAATTCCTGTGTCTTAATTATGATTTGGATCATTCCCAAAATTTAATGGATTGTTCCTTTTGAGGAGGCAGACCTCTTGTAAAAAATACATAAATAAATAATTTAAATCCTTTCCTAACTTTTCATTCATTACAAAAACAACCAACCAATAAACATGATTAAAAACAAAACCTTGACAGAGGTAACTAATGCCCATCCTAGCTCTGATAATGAGAACTTCAACTTAAATCTGCATTCGGATGACTACTCCAGTGGACAGAAGGGTCAGAACTTCTAACACCAGCTTCTCCAACTTAAAATTAAATCAGAAAAGACGGGGTTTATAGAATCAAGAATCTATGAGAACTAAGACAACAAGGCGTCTAAAAAACTATCTGTCCTCATTGACTCTAAATATTAACTTAAATTGCTAATAACCCTACACCTTTTTTAAAACAATGTTTCAATAAAAGGTTTATTGCATACGTCTATTCGTGTGTAATTAGATTTGTTATGTTGATTTTCCAGGTGGAGTTTGCCGTGGATGAGTCTGGCCTTTGGCTACTGTACCCCGCTCTGGACACAGAGGGTTTCCACCAGGAAGTAATCCTCCTCATCCACCTTCATCACCGAGACCTTCAGCCCATCCAAACCTTCCGTACAGGGCTCCGACGCGGCCGCTATGGCAACACATTCCTGGTTTGTGGTGTGCTGTATGGGGTGGATAGCATGGAGCGCCGTTACGCCAACGTTACATACGCCTATGACACGCACACCTTCACACACACTGTACCCAGCCTAGCATTTACAAACATGCATTCACATACATCCCAGGTGTCCTACAACCCACTGGACAAAAAGCTTTACGCCTGGGATGGCGGACACCAGATGAACTATGATGTCATCTTTGCTTATTTGTAAAATGAGGGACAAAGAGAATACATTCTTAATTCAGTTTGACATAAGATCGTACTTAGCTGACAGATGAAGAAAGATTCTAACGGAAGGTGAAAGTCAACAGTGTTTTGTTTTCTTGTGAATGCAGATCTGTCAGCTGACTTTCTTTTGCCGCCACATCTGCTCTGAATACTCCTCCTATGATCCGATCTGAGCCTTTGTGCAGCAGCCGCCCTGGAAGTTCATGCTTTAAAAGAAAATACTGAGAAATTAATCATGCATGACTTAGCTATTAAAATACAAGTTTTTAGAGATGCAAATAAAAGAAATCAAATTGATGTAAATAAAACATTTGAAACAGAAATGATTAAGAAATACAGAGTGATGATGTGTAGACAGAGTCACATATTAGGCATGAATTGAGGCTCAGAAACAGCCAGAAAACATCTGCTTTCTGAAGGTTTCCACTATTTAAAATCGATCTGTGACCTTATAACCTTGTGAAGTTAGGTATATATTATCTGTTTTGAAGCAGCTTGGAAAATCCTGATGATAAATAAATATTTTTTGTCTAAAGTTAATTCTTAAGAAAGTCTTAAGCCTGGCTCTCTGCCAGGACAAAAAATTAGTAAATCCTTGAGACCAGATACAGTACTTTAAAATCAGGTAGTGTTTTTTGTTCTATAAACTTTAGTTACATCCATTTTACTGAAAGTTTAAATAATAAAAAAAAGGGTTCCACTTTGTCAAAACTAACATTATGCATTGAGCAAGTGGATAAAGTTTTTACTTGAAGTCAAAATGATGCAGTTAAGTGTTTCATTAAAATGTTTGCTTGTTGTAACTTTTCCTGTATTTGGACTTTTGATACAGAATGTAAAGACATTTATTTAAAGTTTATACCTTGCACAGTTTCTTTGCCAACCCCAAGTCAAGACAAGGTTGACCATGACCGCTTTTCATTTTGTTAATTTATAATAAAATGTTTGAAAAGATCAAAATAGGCTGTTCTTTTTCTGTAGTCCCTCTCTTTTTCTTTTTTTTTGTTCACCGTCTGCATGCCTGTCCAGTCTGTTGTGGACATTATTTTTGGGAGCTGATTTAGTTTTCCTGGAAGCAGCAGAGCCACTGGAAGATTCCCAGAGTGGAAAATAAGTCCAGATGCTGGTGTACGTCCGACTGGGAGCGCTCGGGGCACAGACGAGGCCATTTGTGTGTAGAAAGCCTGATGTAGATTCTTAAAGGAAGGCAGATCCCCTTTTTGGTAATGTAGACAGCCTTTGGCTTTTGCAGCCTCAGACACGTAGATTTAAAAGAATCGTCTCTCACATTAACCTTCTAGGAAATTGATTAAGCTCTGCTTGTCACCCTGCTGGAAACTCAGCCTCGTCCAAAGGCGTTTTAAAAGTCTCTACGGTGACTCCATTCAGTCACAAAAGTAATTTATTTTAAGTAATAGAGCAAGCTTAAGGGCATATACACTGCTCTAGAAGAAAATGATAAACCTGCCTATTTGAAACTACAATTTTAAAAGTGAGTCATATAGTCTTGCTGCCTTTGGAGGTCAGAAAATAGTAGTTCGTAAATAGAATCTATAGCCGATAAATCCAGCTCTTCTTTAAGGAATCAAGCGTTTGTCAGAAACATTAGCGAACAAACAGTATCATAAAAAAACAGAAAGAACAGAGGGAAAAGAGTTGAGAAGAGTGAAGCAAATAAAGGTCACAGAAATAACTTAATCTTGGCATCTCACTCTTTAATCCATCAAATTGTAATAGTCTATGAGAACTGGATGGGAAGTGAGATATCTTTCTCCACCTAAGCTGACATTTTAGGTAATGAGCACATTAATAAAAGCAGGCAAGAATGTAAGACCTATACTTAGCTCTGGTGAGAGAATCTGATAGGACAACTATTAGCAATGAGAGCCACAAACGTGGCTTTCATAAATGAGGTTGAAGACAGCAATTGGTTGAAATAAAGATAGCTGGAAGTTTAAAAAAAAAAAAAACAGGTAAAACAAAGCAACTATGTGGGTTAAGGCGCTCTGCTCAGCAGAAATGTAACTTCAGATTTTATGAAAAAGCTTCACATTATCCTAAACTTACCTCCAGCACTGTAAAAAATGACTTAGGGAAGGCAAGGCAAATTTATTTGTATAGCACAATTCAGTACAAAGACGAGTGCAAGTAGGGGAAAAAAATAAAATAAAAAATGCAGAAACAAAAAAGAACATTAAAAACAGTGGGACTAAAGAAAATAAAAAAGTTGAACTAATGACGTTTCAGTTGAACTGTTTAACTAGAACAGTCAAAGGCAATCCTAAGCAAATGTGTTTTTAGTCTTGATTTAAAGGAATGCAGAACTTAGGCTTAGACTAACTTTATTGTTATTTTGTACACACAGGGTTTATACAAAAGGAAATTTTGTTTTATATAACTCTCAAGACATTTCCATCTCCTAAAGTGCAACAGTGATCAAATGTAAACATGGTGATCAAATGTAAAAATAGGACAGAGAAATGATTTGCAGTTTTTATTTTTTTATTCAACATTCAGCAGTCTGATGGTGGTGGGGAAGAAGCTGTTTTAGAATCTGGGTAATCCATGATGTTACGGGCTCGGGACACGCAGCGCTGGGATGAAATGTCTTTAATGGAGGGAAGAGGAGCCCTGATGATCTTCTCTGCTGTTCTGACAACTATCCTTACCTTCTTCCAGTCTGAGGCGCTGCAGCCTCCACAGTGAGACAGCTGGTCAGAATGCTCTCCATGGTGCTTATGTAGAAGCTGGTGAGGATGGGTGGGGGCAGGTGGGCTTTCCTCATCCTCTGCAGGAAGTACATGCACTTTTGTGCCCTTTTGACCAGTGAGGTGGTGTTTACAGTCCAGGTGAGGTTTTTTGTGATGTGCAACACCAGGAAGTGTGTTAATCAGTGTCAGGGAGCATCAAAAGGCCTTGGGACCAGAGAAGTTCACCTTCAAGCAAGAATGTTACCATGAAAATACAGTCAGGAATTTACAACAAACATTTTTATGTGTTAAATGGCCTAATAAAAGTCCATACCTAAACTGAACACAGTAGCTATGACTGAAAAGCAATATTCACGACACTCTCTATCCAGTCCGACGGAATTGGTAGACTAGTTGAAAAAAAAATTTGGGTAGGCGAGCAAAGCTGATAGAGAAATACCTTAAAAGATTGTTGTAACTTTGATGAACATTGCTTCTTCCAAGAATACAGAATACTTATGGGAATCGAACACTGTACGTGTCTGTGTGCAGCATTGCTTACTGAAAAAAAAATGCATAACAACATAAATCTCCGTATAATATTCATAAACACAATAATTCCTGCGAAAAATGTTCCACTGAAATTTTACTCTGGGGCTGACATCAATAGTTACGTAAGCCTTGTGCTTAAGAGGTGGTCTGTGAGTGTGTGGGTGTGTATGTGTGTGGTAAATGACCACCAAGCAGGAAGCAGGAGAAAGACACTCATTCAGACCCTCAGCATACCCCAGAAGCTCAGCGGCCAGAGAGCATGTTCAGTAAAAGTGCTTGTCCCTAAATCATTGGCACCAAACCTTCTGTGAGCAGAAGGACCACACATGCACTGAGAGACTCTAGAAGAAACAGACTAAGTATCCTTTACAGAAGCTCTGCTTCATAGCACACATCCACACAGACATGGCCTCTGCAAAGATAACAGCAGAGTTTAAATGCATATCCCTTTGTGTCCCTCTGAGCTAAATCTGTCAAAGTTAAAAAAGAGTTGGAGGTTAAAACAGGAATTCTACGATGTGGGATCAAGATCTATGGGTAAAAAAAAAACAAAAAACACCCAGTTACACAGAGGTCATTTATATTTAACTGTGTAAAATGACAAAGAGCAGCTGAAGTGGTTTAGAGAAAAAAATTATACAGGGAAAAGAAAAGTACTGAAATATATCAGGTTAAGTGTCAGAAGATAAGGCTGAGTGGGAAGTTAGAAGTCAGGGGAAATGTGTGGGAATGAGCAAGCAGACATAAGAAACTCACAACTTTTTATAAGTGATTTTACAAACAAAAACCAAATGTTATGTAGCGCAGGATGAAGAGCAAGTTTGGAGTTTTATTTCCTGCTTCTATACGTTTTCTTATCGTTCTGTTTGTATGTTACTATCGGGGCTTAAAGCGGATGAACTCTCTGATGGACAAGAAAGTTTCACTGAAATAGTTTTTATTCTATTAATCATAGCCAAATGACGTAAAGATAACCAAACTCCATAAAAATAGACTTGAAGCAGAGTCTCTTCTGCTACAGATTTGTTCCACAGATGCAGCTGAACATTAGAAACAGGTGTGGGTCAGTGCCAGTGGGGATTAGCAAGATAAATCAACTTCCTCCACATGTGTGCTTTGAGTCAAATAGGACTGGTTTGCCACTTTTATCTGAACAGAATAATCCTATTCAAAACAGGCGTTTTGCAATTATTTTGGCATCGTTATATTGTTTCTAGCATCTTCAATACTGCATTTTGTTTTATCTCTGGTATTTTGCTGAGTTGGGTTCAAAGTAGTTCTAATTATAATAAATACGACTGGTGAGGGTTTTGTCCTAACTTTTAGACCAAACCTTAGAGAAATACCCTGGTTTAGGACACTTGTGGGTTTGCTGGTGAATATAAAGCATGCTAAGCTATTTTAGCCAAGTGCTCTCATCAGTTATATAACCTGAATTGTACCGTATTAGCAGTCATGCTGCGGTTGCACCAGTTGATAATCTTTACTGCTTATGTTGTAAGAACATTTTTCTTTTTCCTCCAATCTACTATGCTTTGCAAATATGCCCTTGTGTTTTTTTTCTTCATTCATTATGTCACATTATGTCAGATTACAGCCAACAAAGCATCTAACTGTAATGTTGAGAGACATTTTATATGTTTTGCTTTTTTTTTTTTTGGCAAATAAAAATGTAAAATGTCTGCAGCAAAAGGTTTAAATGCCTGAACAGCTACACAAACAATGGCAAGTTTTTCTATCTGTACCTCTATCATTTTCACATATTTAGATACTAAATATTTATCAAGTTTTGAATAGTAATTAACTCTAGAAAGATATATTCTAGAATATCTGCTCTCAAGTCATTACCCAGCTTCTCAGTTGCATTTGGGTTTGGACTTTGACTGGGTCAGTCTAACTAACTGTGCCTCTAACTGTATGTTTAAAGTTGTTTTCCTGATGTTAAGTTAGCCTCCAGTCTCAAGTCGTGTACAGCCTATTAGAGCTTTGTTTCAAGGTTTGCTTATTTTGCTCCACCTTATCCTCCCATTAACCTAAACCAGGGGTAACCAATTAAAACTCAGTGGGGTCGAATAAAGAAAATCATTAATGAGTAAAGGTCCGGAGACATTTCTAATTATAATCTGTTACTTTAAACAGAATTTTACACTGAAATAAAATTAGGTTTTTATGCAATTTTTAAATAAAAAAAATATATTAAAAAGAATAGAACATTTTTCCTTTTAAAATCTAAAGTGTTTTTTGAAGTAGAGAACAACAATTGTTCAGTTTAGTATATAGACAATTTCCTGATTCACATATTTTATAAAACACCTGATCTTGTGGCTTAATGACAGAATTGGGCTTTAGGCTGTCCTGCAAGGCATGGTGGTGGATCCTGCTTCACAGCAGTAGGTTGAGCCAAACCTAATCAAAATGTGCAGGGTCATCTCTGAGCACGCCATTTCACTTTTCTTTCACCAGCTCACTGTGGTTCTTCCAGCAGTCCACACTTTCTCTGCTATCTTTTTCTAATCGTCCTCTCCATTTTTCCCATCGCCTGGCTTGCCAAAGGTTTGCCTGCTGTGTCTAAAAGTGGCTCGCAGCAGTGACAGCTTATGTCAGCCTGGTCACGGGCGCTCCGGAGGGCTATACCATATTAACAGGAGAAGCTGCGCAAGGGAAGTTAGACGGTGGCAGAGACAAGGACAC